CGTGTGCTCTTCCGATCTAGCATATAACTTATTATGTTAATAACTTTTTAATAAACAATGAGCGACAGGAAACGTCAGTGACCTTGAACTTCTTAAGGGTCAAGGTCAAGATCAAAATCAGTCGGAAGTCATTTGGGGCTGACTGTGTAAAAGTAAACATTTACCTTAATTATAACTTAATTTTATTAGTTTTTCGTTTCTATGTAACTTTTAACGTAACTAAATTAATTTTAACTTTAATTTTAATTTATTTAAGGCGATGCCGGAAGGTCGAAAAAATTTGCACGAGGTCGACAGAATAGACTCGGTGTCAGTAGTATCTCTAAATGAACTTCATATAATATCTTTTATCTTACTCAAACACGTGCAATGTCCTTATCTAACTTATTGAAGTGCTATTTGTTGCAAAATCCGACACTTTACTGCTAGACACAATTTTTGCTGTCTTTACCTTAGCTAAACGTGCGAATTATCATAAATTACAGTTGGAACGATAAATCTTTTTCTACGCTTTTAATCAAAAGCGTTGGTTTAGCTCAAAAGGTCTTGTATTATTTGTTCCTGTAATCCGAAGGGGGCGAGCTACTTATTTTGTACATATGAGTTACAGAACTTTTATACCAATGAAATGTTTACCTCAGGTGATAGGTTACGATAACTGTACGACCCCAAAAAAGGTAATTTTTTAATTTTTTGTCGTTTTTACTACAAAAAAATAGCTCGTCCCCTTACATTTTATGTCTATTTCAATCCTGTAAAAGCGATTTTAATTCCGTTCAGTATTTTCGAAGTTATCGTTCCAACTGCAAATGTCGATATTCCAGCATCGCCTTAAGAAGAAACTAACTTATCCAACCTATTATTATCAATGGGCTTTTTCGGTACTCAGAAGCCATTTTTTTATCTTCAATTTAAATGTTCGATCCTAATCATTTTCCGTAGATTTTCCGGGTGACAGAACAGAAGCCAGAGAAACATCCATAGCTTACAAAAAACGAGAATGAAACCCTTTAAATAGAAAAGGATAAGAACACTGCATCTGAACAGTGACATAACATTTTACGTGTTACAATTATTCAACATTTTTTAACATGTAACAATTTTTTGTTAATTTTCTACAATTTAAAAATAAAAAAGAAAAAAATTTGAAAGAAACTTCTGTTTACACATTCGCAGATTTTAAGTGAAAAATTATTCAAATTGTTCTTATGCAACACGTGTCTATTATATTAATTATTCCAGATTTGCTTTACAATATGTCTTCGAGTAAGAAATTTGTGAAATCCATTTTGCAGATACTGTATTATGTCTCATCCTTGTGTTTGAGACGACACTGATTGTTGATAATCAGCCAACACGCCGTGGGTACACGAGCAGAGAATATCGAAAGAACACTGAGTGGGCCCACCACAAAAGCCCACAATCATGACAGAAGCATCACGAGATCCTGAGATGGCTGATTCAGAAAATACAGACAACGGCAGGACAACGTTGAATTTGACTTGTCCGACGACAAACAAAAGTAAACGGCCCCTTCCGGATCGTGGAACATGGAGCACCAAACTGGATTTTATCCTTAGTGTGGTAAATGCATTCTCAACAACCGACAAACCCTATCAGCACAGAACGTTGAAAGAATGTTGCTGAGACATTGCAATATTGAATGTTGGGAATGTTTTTTCAACGTTGAATCTATGTTGAATTTTCTATATTGATTGTTAATGTTGCTGCAACGTTGAATCTATGTTGAATTTTCTATATCGATTGTTAATGTTGCTGCTTTCGTTGAATCTATGTTGAATTTTCTATATTAATTGTTAATGTTGCTGCAACGTTGAAATTATATAGAACAAATTATTATCTTTTAAAACAATTAATAAAAAACATTGCATTGAAAAAAATAATATATATATCTTTTATTAAATAAAGAATAAATTTTTAAACAAATAAAATTTTAATAAACCATGTATTTTTTAATTATATTCTAAAATTTTATGGTCTATGTTCGAAGTATAAGCAAGTAATTTTGTTAATTTTGTTAAATATGAACAAATTTACGTAAATAGAAACTATCACGATTTTAACTTGATTTCCTAACGAGGCTCATTTACGAACAATATTTAAATCTTTACGCAGAAATCGATGTTGGTTTTTTATTATCGATCATGTTATTGTATGTTAATATTTATAAAAAGATATATTTTCGTTTTTTTGATAATTTTATTCATCTGATCTATCACGAATATATATCCATGATATAAATATTAAGTAATCATGGATCATCACGAAGTGTCTGCAATTCCCGATCACAGAAGTTAAGCAACGTTGGTGGCGGTCGTAGCTTAGATGGGTGACCGTTGGATCTGAATATTAGTTTAGAAGGAATTAATCCCTTGGAAACACCGCATACGTAAATTATTATTTTTTAACGTTTTATAATGGTTTTTATTTTAGTTTCATAAAAATCGAATAGATATCTAATAAATATTATTATTTTGTGTGGATTAAATTAATAATGAACAATGTTGAATTACAATGTCTTACAAATGTTCTAAAAACATTTCAATTTCAACGGACATTAGATGTTTCTGCAATATGTCTCTTCAACGTTGAATCCATATTTTAAAACGTTGATTTAACATTCGCAATGTTATAATTCAACGTTTCTGAAATATTGATTCAATATGTGTGTGCTGTATGGGTTATTTTCTTTAAGCATATCATCTGTTATATTAATATCAGCAAGTATTATTATTGATCAAAAGTATCAGATTAATGAAATATTACAAGCAAAATATTTTGAATTTCTAAAGATATTTCTATGATCAAACTCAAAGAGATCGAATATATGTAAAAAAAACAGTTATTCGTTAAAAAAATATAAAGATATCTCTATTATTAACACTAATTATATTTTAATATCCATCATTTCTTCAAGGTTGGCTTGGCAATCGGTCTTGGTAATGTCTGGCGATTTCCATATCTATGCTATAAAAATGGCGGCGGTGCTTTTCTAATTCCCTACTTTTTGACGCTGTTTCTGGCCGGTATACCCATGTTCTTCATGGAGCTGGCTCTTGGACAGATGCTCACAGTGGGCGGCCTCGGAGTCTTCAAAATAGCGCCGCTCTTCAAGGGCATCGGTTATGCCGCCGCCGTTATGTCCTGCTGGATGAATGTCTATTACATCGTTATCCTAGCCTGGGCAATTTTTTATTTTTTTATGTCAATGCGTAGTGGTGAGCACACTTTGAATTTATCTACACCGAAAAATTCTCTCTCATATTATATTCATTGGATATCTTACATCTTCATAACGATGAAAAACAAAAGCAAAGGACTTTACTGAGCGAACTGTCTTGTACAATTCACAGAATTGCCTTGGGGAAGCTGCAACAATGACTGGAACACTAAGAACTGTGTAAATCCTTACGATAGAAGTTCGTTGTTTTGCTGGAACCAAATCTCGGCGAGAAATGGTAGCGTCATCAGGATGTGTACGCTCAATCATGTTAATGTGACAGTGACCGAGCTTACGGATCCTGTGAAGGAGTTTTGGGAGTCAGTATAATTAAATACAATTTTTTTCATTTATTTTCGAATACGTGACGCGCGTAATTTAATTGTGCATTTCTATCATCCGGCCTTACATCAAGTAAATACTTTTAAAGTAGAAACTTTGATATTATTATTACATTATTTAATCTTAACAATTACGCAACTGTTTCTATTTTGCAGGCGTCGAGCGTTGCAGATCAGCGACGGTATTGAATCCATGGGCAATATTAGATGGGAATTGGCGGGTACGTTGTTATTAGTGTGGATAATGTGCTATTTTTGCATCTGGAAAGGTGTTAAATGGACCGGAAAAGTCGTTTATTTCACATCTCTCTTCCCATACGTGTTGCTCACTGTTCTTCTAATACGTGGCATTACATTGCCCGGTGCTATGGAAGGCATTCGATTTTATATTAGTCCAAACTTGTCTAAGCTTCGGGAATCCGAGGTGAGTTATCTTTTTTTTCATTTACTAGCACTTAAAAAACTTGTCCCTAAAACGTTTCTATAAATATTAATATAGTTAATTTAAATTAATTTTACCAAAATAATTTTATTGTATTTTATATATAGCGACGTATAATTAATTGTAAGGTTTATATCCCCATATTATATTAATTGTGTTTTCACTCAGATTTTTAATAATATTTTTTAACTTTATTTTATAGATACGTTGCAAAGAGAAGATAATATATATATATTTTATAAAAAAAGATTTTTTAATAGTATTTTAACAATATTTGAGATAGAGTATTCTGAGCACACTTTAAGAATATTCTAAATTCTTTTTTTCACATTTTTATTTTTTTTCTCATTTTCAATGTTTTTATATAAAATGAAATTCATAGGTGTGGATCGATGCAGTGACACAAATCTTTTTCTCGTACGGTCTCGGACTCGGCACTCTAGTGGCTCTCGGCAGTTACAATAAATTCACTAACAACGTCTATAAGGATGCTCTGATTGTTTGCTCGGTCAACTCATCCACCAGCATGTTCGCAGGCTTCGTGATATTCTCGGTGGTTGGTTTCATGGCGCACGAGCAGCAGAAACCGGTCGCCGAAGTGGCCGCTTCCGGACCAGGGTTGGCCTTTTTGGCTTATCCATCAGCTGTTCTTCAACTACCAGGCGCGCCAGTTTGGTCGTGTCTATTCTTCTTCATGCTGCTGTTGATTGGACTCGACTCCCAATTCTGCACAATGGAAGGCTTCATTACGGCTATGGTATTCTCTTGAAAAGCACGCCAATTTTATTTTTCATACTTGGACTTTCTCACTCATCACCTAATACTCAATAAAAAGTTATTAAGATTCGAAAACTTATATTTTTATCTACTTTGACCGAATAGATTTATTTTCTACTTACTGTTAGTTATACATATATTTACATATCGGTCAATTTTTATTTATTATTATTTATTTATTTTATCTAAAAAAATTCTCTTAAATTCTGTTGGTTATTGCGATAAATGCCTCAGTGGTAAAAACGTCATGAATGTAGAAATTAAGGTTCGATCAAGTTTAAACCTTGACTCAGGGTGATATTTTTCGCAATAAATTTTTTACTGTATTTTTTTAAAGATGCATTAGCATTAATATTAATAAATTGTTTGTCAATTTAATTCGTAGTATTACTTTAGCTTTAATTTAAAATTGTCTTCAACTTTCTTAATATGGCATCCGATTCCTTTGTGTGGATCTGGTACGAGTTCAGGACTGTGTTCTAAGACAAATAACAAATAACAAAAAAAATAACTTTTTTCGAATACGAGAATGAGACTAGTCATTTCTAGTAGTTTTTTAGACGTTGGATCCGGTTATAATATTCGATTGTTAATTACTCCATCGCGTCCATTTTAAAAAATTTGCACTTAAAGTTGCAAAAAGAGCTATTTTTATTTGTATTTTGTCATGTTATAACTTTGACATATAACGTGATAAAGAAATTTTTGCAATCAAACTTAAATATGTTGTAAGATTTTCAATCTTCAAAAGAAATTTTTTGTCGGCTATGATTAACCTTTTAAGGGCGGGGAAAAATGAGTTAAAATCGACTTCTTTTTAGACGTGAAATTTATAAATAAATTCAATGAATTTCTCATATGGAATCTCCTGACTGCTGATCGAAATATCGACCAGCCCCGCTCGTAAAGGGCCAATCCAATGTAAAATTTTAGCTTGAAGGTTTGAGAGTATTTTCCTACGTAATTTGATGCGCTGAATACGGGAAAAATAGTGAAAAAAATCCTGGTGGCATTCTTGACCTTGAAAATCGCCATTTCAAGGTTAAAATTTTTTTTAATAAAAGAAATAGCGATTTTCAAGGTCAAGGATGCTTCCAGGAATTTTTACACTATTTTTCCCATATTCAACGCATAAAATTTTCCCTGAAAAAACATCCAAAATTATGTGTCTCCTAGGTGGTCGATATATCGCGCCGTTAAAAGGTTAATAAGATAGTTTTTGGTTAAATATGGGGTCTATTGTGGGAAAAACTATGAATTAGATCATTCACAATTTATTAAATAGCTTTTATTTCATTTATTTAAATTTAAATTTAACTTTATTTAAAATTACATATAAATTAATTACACACTAAATACACATAAATGCAAAATTGAATATCAAAATTAACAAAATAGTGGATTCAATATGACGGACATTAAAACTGAGAAAATATCTGGATTGTTCTAAAAATTAAATACACCATTTGAATTTGTTAATTTTGACATTATATTTGTTTTTCTTGTATTTAGTAATTTAAAATCACTTAAGAGAATGCTGAAAGATCGGGAATTACCGACAATTGCAGTTGAAAGGATAACTTCAAAACGACTGAACGGATTTGAAATCGCTTTTACAGGATTGAAACAGACGTAAAATGTAAGGGGGCGAGCTACGAATTTGTAGTAAAAACAATAAAAAATTAAAAAATTACTTTTTTTCGGATTGTACAGCTGTCAGTTGTCACTTGACGTAAACATTCCATTAATGTAGAAGTTCTGTAGCTTATATGTATGTACAAAATAAGTAGCTCGCCCCCTTTGGATTACAGAAACGAATAATACAAGACATTCTGAGTTACGATTGAAAGCCTAGAAAAAAAGAAATCCTTAGGATTGAAATTTATGATAATTCGTACACTTAGCTAAAGTAAAGATAGCAAAAATTGCGTCTAGCAGTAAATACCGGAGTTTGCAACAAGTGGCACTCCAATAAGTTAGATAAGGACATTGCACATGTTTGAGTGAGACAAAAGATTATATTGTAAGAAATTCATTTAGAGATACCATTGACACTGAAGAGTCTGCTCTATCGACCTCATGCCAATTTTTCCACCTTCCAGCATCGCCTTATGCTTATACAAACTAAATTTCATGTGACTGTTAAAATTATGCAGAATCTGATAGCCCTAATTAGCTAACTTAATATAAAATTTCCTGATTGAACCAACAAAAAAATTCTGAGCATCGGCCACTGTGAGTGGCACGTTAATTACATCGTGTGTTAACGAGAACATCCCGTCAAAATCCAATACAAAAGATCGATAACAAATATTTCACACAATAGCTTACTTTTAATATTAAAAAAAAAAACTTAATATTAAAATAATAAATTTAATAGTCAAATTGATTTATTTTATAATAGGTTTGATTTTTATAGTTAGATTAAAATGAATTAAATAGGAAAGGCTTTCAGGTGCCCCTATCAGATTTTAATGACACTAATTGACTTTGTAGAGAGGAAAAAAGTATTTGATATATTTTTTTTATCAACCAAGGAGGATTTTTATTAATCCTTTAAGACATCCTAAGAAAATCTAAATCAGCGAGAAAGAATTAAATCGTCTATTTGCAGACAGCACAAAGATGTCCATTGCATATTCAGTGGATATCCGCTTCTGTGCTGGGATTCTATAGACAGGGCTGGGCAAAATACACCATTAAAGTATTTAAAATACAAAATACAAAATACTAGGATTCTTAGTATTTGAATTACAAAATATAAAATACTTTTAATCTTTTGATTTGAAATACAAAATACAAATTGTATTTCAAATACTGTATTTCAAATACTAAGTATTTGAAATATGTCCAGCCCTGTCTATAGACGCTACCGATGATTATCGGTATCATAATATATATTGCAACCGCTTTTACAAGTAGAAAGCAAGACTCGTCGCTGATCCGTCGCTACAGTCAGGGCGAAAAATAGTCGCGATTCTAATAATTCATAATTACATGGTAACTGAAAACGCAAAGTTAGGCGCCAGGCACGAGCGGACGTGCCACCCTTCGAAATGACTGAAGTGACAATCACTGACATACGTGAAATATCCGCTAGAAAACGACACGAGAAAACTAAGTAACACTCGAATCTTTAACTGCCGCGATTGGTGGATGATTCGGATGACCGCGGTAACTCAGCCTCGAAATTTGCAGAGGGGCGGTTCGTAGAAGCGCAAAGGAATGCGGAGAGCAAAGGCGCTATCAAAAACACAAGAATTTAGTAACAAATAACAAATATAATTGCGTGTACCGTAGTATACAAGCGTTTCGTCGGACCGCGATGACGTAGTAGCAACCGAGTATTCTCGTTAGCTCTCTTGACTGACCGATGTACGAGCTTTTCATCAATTTGCGGAATACAATGTCACGGCACGCGAGAAGTACGCCACGCACGGCGTATAATGGCCGATCACACGCCACGTGGAGTCGCAATATTCTCGAAATTGCCGAAAGCTCGGCACGCTATAACGCAATGAATTGTACAGATTCTCAACGCAATAAAAACAACACGAAATAACACTTAAATTACGCACAAATGACCCGGCTGTGGCAAGGCGAGCGCAACTACTTCACTTCGCGTAATTTATGCTGGACGGATGGCGCGGTACACTGACTCTACTCGCGGACATACAATTACACATGGACGACGGAACTTTCGTAGCGCGATCCGCCCGACACGAAACCGGCGGCTGAATAATATAATTCGGCGACGTTCGTCTCACCAAAAACGGCAGCTAAACGGGATCCTGCGTCTTTCTTCGGTAACGACCACAGCTCTTCTTCTTCTTGTAGCCCTTGGTTGTCAGATCCGTATGGATCTAAGTACCACAGTTTGACCATAGCTCAAGTGTCGCTCGACGGTCCTTCCGGCAGCCCGCAGGCCGCGAGGTGTCACGGGATCGGCTGATAACGCGCCGATTGACCCTTTCCCTACGAGCGCGACCCCCGCAAATCAAGGCGTCGCACGTGATTGGATCGCCCGCAATCGGCGGCGCGAGCTTCAAATTTGGCCCAACTTTTCCGGGCCTCAGGCCGCGACCTTCTCAGCTATCCTGCGGCCGGGTGCTTGCCCGCCTTGCTCTCGTACGTTTCGCCGTCGGCAACCGGGTTCTCCGCAACCGTGTGAGTCCATCGCTTCAACGCAATGTGCTTTTCTCACGGTTTTCTTCGGCGTCGGGCGGCGGTTGCGTCCGGGCCGTGATCTCTATCTTTCATTACTGGTCGCTGAAAAGAATCGACAGCAGTAAAG